GAATAGACATTTCTCCACAAAAGACATACAAATGCCCAGCAGATATGTGCCAAAATGCCCAGCATCTCTAATCATCAGGGAAATGCAAATCAACACCACAGTGAGATATTTCTGTTAGGACAGACTAACAGAAATATCACATCTGTTAGGACGACTATTAACAACAACAACACAAAAGAAAGCAAGTGTTGGTGAGGGTGTGGAGAGATTGGAATGCTTATGCATTGTTGATAGGAATATAAAATGGAGATCATCAGCTATGGAAAACAGCATACATTTTCCTAAAAAAAAACCTAAAAATAGAACTACTGTATGATCCAGGAATCCCACTTCCGGGTATATACTCAAAATAATTTTAAATTGTAATCTCAAAGAGATATCTGCACCCCCAGGTTCACTGTAGCATTATTCATAATAGCCAAGATACAGAATCAATCTAAATGTTCATTGATGGATGAATGGATATAGAAAACGTACTTAAAATGGAATATTATTTAGCCTTAAAGAAGAAGGAAACTCTGCCATATGCAGCAACACGGATGAATCTGGAGGACACCATGTGAAAGAAACCAGCCATGGGTGGACAAATACTGCCTGATTCCACTTATACAGGGTATCTAAAATAGTTAAAGTCCTAGAAGCAGAGGGTAGAATGGTGGTTGCCAGGGATTAGGGGGAAAGGAAAATATGGAATTATTGTTAAACATGTATATAGTTTCAGTTATGCAAGATGAATAAGTTCTAGAGATCTGTAAAACTTGGTGCCTATGGTTAACGATACCGTATTGCATATTTAAATATTTTAAATATTTTTTTCAAAAGGGTAAATCTCATGTGAAATGTTCTTACCACAATAATAAAAAGAAACCAAAACACAAAATTCGTTTCTCACCTTTTTCATAAGGTCGTCATGGAGATGCAATGATATAATTCCTCTGAAATCTTTGGGAAACTATAAAGTACAATAAAACTCCCCGGTAGCTATTATTGTTGCTGTTTTAATACTGTTTCATACTGATGGTCAGCTTATTTCAGAATCTCCTGGTAATGACTATGCTTTTGCCTTTTTAAGGATCACTCATCATGATTGATGAAACTATTCAGGAAGACAATATAATGTGTTTATTGCCATTATTTCATCAAATAACTATTTACCAAGCTTCTATTGTGTATCCAGCAGTGTTCTAGACATTGTGGGAAATAAAAGTACTGCACTGGATGGACAGCATTCTTGTCTTTAAGCAGTTGAACAATTTATTGAGGGAAATGAAGCAATCACATACAAGACAATTACCAAGGAATGAAATAGTAATGAATCAAGCAATAAGCAGTCTGAGAGCCCGGTTGGAGTTTGTAAAAGAGGCCAATACTGGAGGTGTACGTGGTCCATAAAACCTTCCTGGGGAAGATGGGACTTTGAAGAGTTTAGAAGAGCTGGCTAACGGGAGAGGACAAAGGTGACTGCAATGGCTATGGCCACACTATGGTGGTTGGTACCATTCTCCATTTTATTTACTTACTTACTGACAGGATCTCACTCCTCTGCTTTCCAGATTGGCGAGCAGTGCCCAGATCCTGCCTCACTGCAGTCTCAAGCTCCTGGCTCCAGCGATCCTCCTGCTTCAGCCTCTGGAGGTGCTGGGACTACAGGTGCGCACCATCACATCTGGCTAATTTAAGCATTTTTTTTTGGTAGTTATGGGGTCTCGCTATATTGCCCAAGATGGCCTCAGACTCCTGACCTCAAGCAATCCTCCTGCCTCGACTTCCCAGAGTGCTGGGATTACAGGTGTGGGCTGTCGTGCCCGGCCCATTCTCCTGTTTAGACTCTCCAAAACTATAAGAGCCTTCTTGATTTATTGTCAGTTATTAGAAATTGTGAGGTTTAAAAGCAGAATTCCTTCTTTAGCCTGGAAAGAAATTTCTCCCTACATGTAAGCTTTCCTTGGTGCAGGCCTGTTCATGACCTTGGCCCCTTTTAGATTACACCATGTTTTATAGGCTCTCTGCAGCCAGCATAATTTTTGACAGGAGGTCATCTCTGATCCAGAAGATACTCATCAGAAATTGACATTGTTTTGTTATGTTTTCAGAAGATGTGCAGTTACTAAGTAGATTTACGCGGAGAAACATATTAGTCAGCAACAAAATTAATTGGTATCCTGATCTCATAGTGTTTCTTTCTGTTTTCCTTCAGCAGTTTCTTAATGCAGTGTTTCTCAAAAAAATGCGTAGGTATTACCACAGCTAAGCTATGGTAATCTGTGGGGCACGTACACCAGAGTCCATGGGCTGTGCTATTAAATAGTTAAAAATGCAGCTTTCTGAATCCCATCCCAGGCCTCCTGAATCAGAATCTTTGGGAAGGGCTCAAGAATACACATTTGTACAAGCTTCCCAGGTGATCTTTTACGCATCAATATTTAAGAATCATGCATTAATTCTTGGTGAGCTTATAAACATTCTGATATCCAGGTGTGCCCCCAAGTCCCAATCAAATGGCATCTGTGAGGTTGGAATTCAGGCATCAGTGTTTTTAAACCTCAGTGGCAATTCCAATGTGCAGCCAAGGTTGACGACCATTGGCTTACAGTAATACTTTTGAAGTTTTAATGTGCATATTAACCACCTGGGGATCTTATTAAAATGTGATGCTGATCTAGGAAGTCTGGATTTAAATTTTGTATTTTTAATAAGTTCTTAGGTGATGCAGATGCTGTCAGTCTATGAACCACACTTTGAGTAGCAGGGCCTGGAGAAAAATGCATTTAATTTTTTAATGGTCCCATTCTTCATTGGCACAATCTTCTGTATGACTTGTATGTGATTGAACCTAAGACCATTTAAAATAATTTATGGCATAGCAAAAGCTCCATTCCAAAAGATCATAATTTCATTGATTTATTATAAAGACAGAAAATGTTTGTAAATAATTTTTTTTATTGAGGTAAAATATACATAGATGATTTATTATCTTTACCATTTTTTAAGAGACAGGGTTTCATTTTTTTTTTTTTTTTTTGACAGTCTCACTCTGTTGCCTGGGCTAGAGTGCTGTGGCATCAACCTAGCTCACAGCAACCTCAAACTCCTGGGCTCAAGCAATCCTACTGCCTCAGCCTCCTGAGTAGCTGGGACTACAGGCATGTGCCACCATGCCCAGCTAATTTTTTTTATATATTTTTAGTTGGTCAATTAATTTATTTCTATTTTTAGTAGATACAGAGTCTTGTTCTTGCTCAGGCTGGTTTTGAACTCCTGACCTTGAGTGATCCTCCAGCCTCGGCATCCCAGACAGCTAGGATTACAGGCGTGAGCAACCATGCTCTGCCGACAGGGTTTCATTCTGTCACTCAGGCTGGAGTAGGGTGACCATACCTCACTGCAGCTCACTGCAGATTGAACTCCGGGGCTCAATCCATCCTCCTGTCTCAGCCTCCTGAATAGCTGGGACTACAGGTATGCTCCACCATGCTCTGCTAATTTTTAAATTTTTTGTAGAGTCAGGGTTTCACTATATTGCCCGGACTGGTCTCGAACTCCTGGCCTCAGGTGATCCTCCTGCCTTGGCCTCCCAAAAGTGCTGGGATTACAGGTGTGAGCCACAGCTCCTGGCCTATGTTCACCATTTTTAAATGTACAGATTAGTGGTAACAAATACATTTTTTATTCTATTGTTTTCCCTCCAAGAGAGAAATATTTTAAAATATTAAGGTTTAAATGAAAAAGCGTTCCTAATTCTGTCATCGAGGCAATAGGGGCAAAAAGTGAAGCAGAAAGACAGATGGGGTGGGTGGACAGGGCAGTCAGAAGAAATGCAGTCTGCCCAGGAGGGTGACAAGTAGCCAGGGTGACTGACTAAGAGGGTGCCAGCCAGCACAGGATGTGTGAAACTTTTGTGTCCAGTGAGCCAGGTGGGAGTAGGGTCATGCCTGCTGTCCTGGAAATCTAAGGTTTCGAATGAGTAGATGGGTATTGAGGAGACATCACTTCACACACCACTCATACACACGCATGCGCGCACACACACACACACACACACACACACACACCTCTCACATACACACCCTGTGAGGGTTAATTTTCTGGGCCAACTTGGCTAAGCTATGGTGCTCAGTTGTTTGGTCAAACACCACTCAAAATGTTGCTGCAGGCAGGGCGAGGTGGCTCACGCCTGTAATCCTAGCACTCTGGGAACCCGAGGAGAGCGGATTGCTGAAGGTCAAGAGTTCAAAACCAGCCTGCGCAAGAGCGAGACCCTGTCTCCTCTAAAAATAGAAAGAAATTAATTGGCCAACTAAAAATATATAGAAAAAAATTAGCCGGGCATGGTGGTGTGTACCTGTAGTCCCAGCTACTCGGGAGGCTGAGGCAGGAAGATGTCTTGAGCCCAGGAGTTTGAGGTTGCCGTGAGCTAGGCGAAGCCATGGCACTCTAGCCTGGGCAACAGAGTGAGATGCTGACTCAAAAAAAAAATAAATAAAAATGTTGCTGTGCAGGAATGTATGAGATGTTGCTAACATTGAAATCAGTAGCCATTGAGTAAAGCAGATGACCCTCTACAATTTGGGTGGGCTTAGGTAAAGGCCTTAAGAGCAAAGACTGAGGTTTCCTAAAAAAGGAAGCAATTCTGCCTCGTGAGGGCAACATATAAACCCTGCCTGAGTTTCCAGCCTGCAGGTTTTGAATTCAAGACTGCAGCATCAACTCCTCTCTGAATTTCCAGCCTGCTGGCCTGCTCCATAAATTTTGGACTTACCGGCTCCCACAACTGTGTGAGCCAATTCCTTAAACTAATATCTCTCTTTCTCCCTGCCCCTGTGCCCCCACACTTGGCTCTATTTTTCTGGAGGATCCTGACTAATACACTATAGACACACACACACACACACACACACACACGCACACACACGCACACACACGCACACACACGCACACACACGCACACGCACACGCACACGCACGCACGCACGCACACACCTCTCCCGTCTTCTCTTCCCTCCCACTTGAAAGCTTTTGCTAGCTGCCCATAAAAAAATTTCTTTCAAACTTCTGACACTGGCCAAGAAGATCTGCATCTCTACTTTGATCTCATCTCCCTCATTTCTTACCTTTCCCTCTAAACTGGCCTTCTTCCTGTCCCCGTGGCCCATTCCTGCTCCGGGCTCTTCTCCAAGCGCAGGGCAAGGTGGGCCCTCTTCATTCTTTCAGAACTGCCTGAGATGTTGTCCCTTTAGTGGGCACTTCCCTGACTATTTTCCTCTCTCCCATCCCAAATATACATTCTCTATCACATCATGTTTAGTTTTCTTTATAGAACTGACTATATGAAATTCCTATTGATTTATTACCTTACTTTTTTTTTTTTTTTTTTTGAGACAGAGTCTCACTTTGTTGCCCAGGCTAGAGTGAGTGCCGTGGCATCAGCCTAGCTCACAGCAACCTCAAACTCCTGGCTCAAGCAATCCTGCTGCCTCAGCCTCCCAAGTAGCTGGGACTACAGGCATGCGCCACCATGCCCGGCTAATTTTTTCTATATATTTTTAGTTGTCCAATTAATATCTTTCTATTTATAGTAGAGACAGGGTCTCGCTCTTGCTCAGGCTGGTTTCGAACTCCTGACCTCGAGCAATCCGCCCGCCTCGGCCTCCCAGAGAGCTAGGATTACAGGTGTGAGCCACCGCGCCCGTCCTACCCTACTTTTAAGTTTGTATGTCTTCCCCTCTACTCCCATGTAGACCGCATGAGGGTGAAGGCTGCGTCTGTCTTGTTCACAGCTGGAAGCCCAGTGCCTGACACATGTTGGTTGATCAATAAGTACTGTTTTTTTTTTTGTTTTTTTTTTTTTGAGACAGAGTCTCACTTTGTTTCCCAGGCTAGAGTGAGTGCCCTGGCATCAGCCTAGCTCACAGCAACCTCAAACTCCTGGGCTCAAGCGATCCTACTGCCTCAGCCTTCCGAGTAGCTGGGACTACAGGCATGCGCCACCATGCCTGGCTAATTTTTTTCTATATATATTAGTTGGTCAATTAATTTATTTCTATTTATAGTAGAGATGGGGTCTCACTCTTGCTCTGGCTGGTCTTGAACTCTTGACCTTGAGCGATCCTCCCGCCTCGGGCTCCCAGAGTGCTAGGATTATAGGTGTGAGCCACCGCGCCTGGCTAATAAGTACTGTTGAGGGAATGAATGGCAGTCAGTAAAATCATCTGGAGGAGAGAACTCAGAATCTGTGGGGTGTTTACGTAAAATGCGAATTCTTGTGTCCCAACAGCAGAATCTGTTTCAGTAGTTTTGGGGTGTGCTCCAAAGACCCCCAATTGAGAAATAAAGTCCTCAAGTTTGTGTTCCTTTCTTGATTGAATTTTCATGGATTGAGGACTTCTTTTAGAAAGACACAATTTCACAAAACAGAATATTTGGGATGGATGGGTGGATCTCGAGGTAGCTCCCAAACCATGAAGACCATGTCAGACTGTACCCCCTGATCTACTGAAACAATATTTCTTAGTATTAGTTCCAGTAATCTCTTTTCTTAAAAGATCTCCCAGTGATTCTGATAAGTATCCAGTATTGTCCAGCGCTGGAGTGTGAGGAACTCACTATTAGAATTGATGAGACAGGAAGCAAGCATTGGTATGAATTCTTCACGTGCATATGCATACAAAAGCCTGTGCATAACGTGCCGTATCTGATAGAAGTGCTTTGGGGCAAGCAACAACAACAGTCTGATTAACAGTAGATTGAACAATAGGTGCTTTTTGGCTCTTTTGACTAGAAATTGGGGCTTAGGCATTTGCTGGCATTGGTTCAGTAGCTCTGCAGAGTCATCAAGGATCCCAGTTGTTTCTCCCCTTATCTTTCACCATCCTCATGTGCTTGCTTCTTCCTGCGGCTTGTAACCCTCTGTTTGCATAGAGCTGGCACCGCTTCAGGCGTTACATTCACATAGAAGGGGAGATGAAGAGTGAAGGACTGTCTTTTTATCTAGAAAGAAAAATCTCTCCCAGGAGCTCCCTCTGTAGACTTTTTGTTTTTATTCAGCCAGAACTTGGCATTTTACCCTAGTGGCAAGGAAGTCTAGGAACATGAGTAGATAGCTCTCCAGGCTCCATAGTGGGAGGTGGCCAGTGAGAAGGGGCTTAGGAGTGATTTTTAAGTCCCTCAAGGAAAAGCATCAGCCATACGTGCCTGTCATGGGACACTGTCCAGCCCAGATAATGTCCAAGAGGGAGACTTCCACCTTTTCCTGCTCCGTTCAACTTTTGCTTTTTTTAGGATTATTTTTCTCTTTGCATAGAGAATTTTCCCCCAAGTGATTGATTCTTACCTCCAAACTCTTCATTTACCTTTGGTGGTAGCAAACACTTACTCTATGTTAGGCATTATTAATAAGGTATATGTATTTATATATACACACATATATCTTATAAATATGTATATATACTTTATAAATATATATACTATATATAAACTCATTTAATCTTTACAACGAACTTATGTAGTAGAGTCTATTATTATTCTCAGTCAACAGATGAGAGTACTGAGATACAGAAAAGTAGAGAAGTTAAGTAATTTATCACTCAGCTAGTTGAGCAGCAGAGTGGAATGCAAAGCCAGGCCATTTGGTTCTAGAGTCTGTGCTCTTAACCAGAATGCTATAGTGTACTCCCTTTCATGTGTACCTGAAGTAGCAAAGCTCACTGGCTCAAGGAACATAACTTTGCCAAACAAAGTCAGGTTTTGCTAGTTGTTGCAGGAAAGGCATTCCACATCAGGGCAACAGTGACGCACCTCAAAGGGGAATACCCAGGAAGGATACTTAAAGGGTTTGGGGGGCAGAAGTTAGTCACAGGTTGGTCTTAGCAGGGGTCACTCAAGAATTTGTAAAGTAAGTGAGTTACTAGCATAGCCAGTGGTCTTACCTTTGGAATACATGAGTTGGTGTAAACTTCCTGTGAGAGCAGTTGTCTATGATCTTATTCAAAATCGTTGGGTCTGAATGAACTGGTGTTAAGAGAGTTTGTGCTTAGATGGTTTGCTTCATGTCACAGTTTGGTACAGTTAACTGTTTTGTGAATTGTGTAGCTTTGCAAGTTGTGATTTATATTTTAATTCTAGTACTCTCTTCACCAGTTAGCTGCCAGTGGAGACATTCTTCATTGATCAGTCACCCTTTTTGGTCATTTTTCAGAGTAAATGGAAGGATAAACTACTATCTTGCGGGAAAACAGTAAGTCCAGATCTGCATCACGGTTCAATTGGTTGTGATCATGTATTGACTGTTGGCTACCTCAAGTGGCAGGCCTTCTGATACTTTTTGTCGTATAATTACTTGTGGAATCTTCTGGAGTGAAAGTAAGTCTGGAGTTATTCACACTTAGTGACTGCAATACAGAAACACTGAGACAAGGATTATTATTTAAGTGAAAGATGATTCATATGTCCCTTAAGCTACTTAAATCTTCCTTAAATAAACAAATGGCTTTTTCCTTTTTTTTTTTTTTTGATATAGGTGGTTCAACTTGGCGAGTGTCTAGAGGATGAATACTATTTCTGCTCATTGTTGGGGGTAAGGATATTGCATGTACTAGGATTATGGGATGCGAATGTCTACTAATAATTTAGAATTTTGAACCATCAGAGAAGGAACAAAATGACCAAGAAGGTAAGAAATAAAAACTTGCAAAGAAGCATGTGACCATCAGTGGCTCTGGGCATCTGGGGGCCTTGGGCATAAGCCATCTATTTCACATTGTCTTCTGCTTCTGAACCAAACACAGCCCTGCCAACCTCGACTCAGTTGTAGGTGAATATTCAAAGTGACGAAGGCAATGATAGCCATACATTTATTCTCGGTAGTATCAATAGTCCTTTATGGAACGTCTTTAGATATTTTTTTCTAGAAAACTTAATTCCTCTATACCTTAGTCAGTACTCCTAAAGACAGATGTTTTGGCCAAAAGAGAGGGAAACTCCATCACAAGTACTAAGAAACAGCTCCGAGTTCATGTTTTGTGTACTTAAAGTCAGAACTACACCAGTGCAAACACACAACCACCTATTTGTCATTAATCCATCATTAATTTCCCCTAAAACACACTTGCACCTGCAGACTTCCTGGAGGTTCTTTTTTTTAAAAAAATTTTTCTCTGAGGGGAGTGTCTTGAAGTACGGGACTCGCAAACACCTGGAGGCCAACAACTAACTGCAGATGTCTGCCTAAAGGCAAAGATTTGATCAGGTTTATGAAACCAGCATGGTATGTCCTAACAAAACAACGATCTACAGAGATTACAAAGCTTGAAATGTTTTTAATTCTGAAGATATGCAAACCCTATGCCTACAAAAGGTTTGGGAGATTCTGAAACAAAAGCATAGAATGATTTCTAAATGCATACTCGAGAACTAGAATTTTGGTTGACATTAAGAGTTTTGTTTTATGCACATTATTTCTATGTTGTCGGAATATAGTAAGAGAGTCTGTGATGGTCTCAAATGTGGCTTAAGTAGAGAAGAAAAAAAGGTTCTTTATTGCCATACATTCAGAATCTGTATTATTATTAATAGTTCAAAGTTGGACTCCCTGAATTTTCCTCAGAATTTAAACTATCAGTTTTTTAAAATAAAAATATATCAATATTTACTTTGAAAACATTTCTGAAAACTTCTTGGGTACATAAAATCTAACCTATCAAAGAAAAATATTTGGAATAAGTCAGAATTATTAAGTATATTTTCTTTGTTTAATAAATTCTTTTTCATTTAAAACAAAACAGGAAAACAAAACTATTTTCTTAGAATCAGCCAAGATGTTTGTCTTAAAGCTATTTGGTTTGCCTATCACTAATTTTTCTTTTCTGATTCACACAGAAGCCTGTATTATTGCTAACAAACCTGGCCATTTTGCTAAATTACTATAGTTGCACTGCTGCAAGTTAGTCTCTTTATGGTACCGTGTAAAAATTAAGTATTTAGCAGGCTTAGTCACACCGCATAATTGCAAAAGTTCTTAAGTCCAGGTCAACTAGAACAAGTTTGTTCTTGATTTATGTGCTACCTCCAGAAATATGTCAAGGTATTTATTTGCTTTCAGAATAGTTTGCATCTCCCTTTCAGGGGAGAGGTGAAACAAACATAGGTTGTGACTGGTGATTGCCCACCCACCTGCAACTCCAGAAGCTGCTTTTTGGATTTTTGTCACATCGATTTAAAAAATGTAACTCTTCTGATCAATTATTGTTTACCGATACCACCTTCCCAGGTTTGTTCTGAATTATTTTCTTTATTTTTTAAGCCCAAGAACCACGAGGCTAAAACCTTCTGCTCCTCTGATCAGCTAACTGCAGGCAATTAGGTGGGAATGCCCCTTTTAACACAGGTGTGAGCATACCAGGTATAACTCTCAGACTTATCTGCATCCAGGAGTTATCCTAAAGAGTCTCCTGACCCACGTTATAAGATTTTCAGAAATAGTTACTGGGACAAAAAGTCCAAACTCTGAGCCAGCTTTCACACAATCTCTTTCACCCATAGAAGCCATCATGCTGTTTGCAATGGGAGGGTGATACAATAGAGGACTCGTTGGTCATAATTTATGTTCTTTTGTTTCAGGAGAACTAAGAGGCATCTCACAATGAAAGAGTCAAAAAAGTTTTGTTTTTTTTTTTCTGATTTCTGAATATTGCTTCAGACATATATTTTTCTATCACTATTGATTGTACTTTCAGTTAACTCCAGAGAATGGAAACAAACCTATCCAGCCAATAAAGCAACACATTCAGAAAATATTCTATTTTTTAAAGAGTGTGATATATTCTCTCAGATTTACTAGAAACTGATAAAATGCCGGAGACAAAGGCGAATATGCACATTGAGATTATTAAATAATGGTCCCAGGCTCTGTTTTCCTTCCTAGCTGAATTGAGCAGCTATTGTTGCTCTACGGGATAGAGCAAGGGTGACATTCACTCTTGTATTGTGCCTTGTTTGGCAAGAAGCTGATATTTGGGAGGGATGAGCTGACTGGACCACTTTTAGAGCAGATAAGAAATGACACACACCTGCTCACCTGCACAGAGTATGCTAAGGAATAAGTTTTAGACACCACTCACCCTTACCCACAGCTCTTTTGAACTAAGAAAATTCAAAAATTAACTGCATATAACCAGTTGAAACCATAAATGGATTGAGTGCTCTCAAGGAATAAAGCTTTTTTCCTGAACATTCCATTACTGAGCTACCAGAGAGAATGTTGCCAACCTAGCCTTGAATAGGAGACTATGCAAGTTCTGTTTTAACTAGGATTTCAGAAAAGGTGTCTTTCTAACTTTATTTTCAAGTATGAGCAATGGCTAGACCAAATGTCAGTCTCCTCACTGTAGTTTATCCTCCATTTTTTTTTTTGTCAGAGTTATCTTTTTAAAATTCTAATCTAACCATGTTATCTTTCTGAAAGTCTTTGATGGGTACCCATTCTCTTAGAAGATAAAGTCAACTCCCTCAGCCCCGCACTGTAGACCTGTCATTATCTGGTTCCAATTGGGGTTTCCAGCCTCTTTTTCTCTGACCCAGCTTGCCCTCAGTCCCATGATGCCTTTCACTATCTCCTGAACATAATCACTCTTTTTTGTGCTTCTCTCTACTTGGAATGCTGTCTCTCTACTGAGGTCTACATATCTTACACAACAACCCCTCTAGGAAGTCCGTCCCTTGTCTTAGCTCTTCCCATTTCTGCCCAGAAAGAAAAAAACCCAATGCCCCCGCTTTGAACTTGTCACATGGCATTTTTGGTAGTTAGTTACGTATTCCCCAGTTTGTCCTACCAAGTTGTGAATTCCTTGATGAAAAAGATAACGTATTATTCATCTTTGTTTCCCCAATTTCTTGTGCAGATGTGGAATATAACACTCATTTAATGATTGTTGAATGTTAAAGTGTTTGTTGAACAGCAAGTTCAGGCAGGATCTGATGCAGATATTTTGTGATAAGAGTTTAGAATATTTGTTTATTTTGGGTTCCCATTACTTATTCTGCAAAAGCAGCGCTGCCCAATATAAATATAATGTAAGCCACAGATGAAAACCACATATATAATTTAAAATTTTCTAGTAGCCACATTAAAAAAGTGAAAAGAAACAGGTAGAATGAATTTTAATAGTATATTTTACTTAGCCCAAATACAGCCAGAATATTGTCATTTCAACATGGCTTTAACATCAAAAATGATTTGTGAGCTATTTCGCATTCTTTTTCCTTCACAGTCTTTGAAATCTAGTGTGTTTCTTCCACATCCCAGTTCCAACAAGCCACATTCCTATACTTAATAGCCTACCATGTTGGACAGCACAGCTCTGAAGATTCCACCTGTATTCAGGACATTGCTGGGTCCTCCATAGCGACTGCTTCGAGGGAGGGCTGACAAACCAGAAGGATGGGAACAAGGGCTTTTCCCCTGGCTTTTGAGTTTTAAAATCCTAGGCCCCTCAATGGGGATAGGAAAGCCTCATGCAGAGGAAATGAAATAGATTCGGGAGAAAGCTTATGATGCAAGAAGAAGATTGACTGTGGTATCCTCCCACCCCACCTCACCCCCAAACAAACGCAATCAAGCGTCTCAAGTGACACTGCATGTGTGTGAATACACACACAAGCAAAGATTCCCTAGCCTGGGAGCTGGGAGAATTTAAGGGGAAGCAGGAAGTGAATAGACAATGTGGGTCCTTGAGAAAGAAGGGCTTATGCCTTTCTCTCTCTTTCTCTGGTTCAAAGTAGGGGCAACTGGAATCCAAGCTGGTTTGGAGGATTTGAGGGCAATGGAGACCTGGGTCCCCTTTCCCAGGAAGAGCTTACAGAGTTGGCTAGTAGAAAGGCTGCTATGTAATGTGCCTACGTAGATGGACTTGTGATGGTCTCACAGAATTTCCGAGTGCCCTGGAGCTTTACAATCACACCGATGTCCTCAAGAGTAGCTCAGACATGGTGATGGCCTGTCAACAGTCTCATTGGGTTTCCCATGGTCCTTCCTTTTTATAAGTGAGGCAGAAGGATCCCATGCCCCAGAAGAGAGAGCCAAGTACAGAGAAGCACATAGACAGAGACAGACAGGCAGATAAACGGAGTAAACATGCAGACGTGGAGAAGCCCTGTGGTTAGGAAGGGGGACAACTGATCAGTGAACTATATGGACATGGCATCAAAGACCAGAGAGAAACAGAACAGCTGGACAGATGTCACCTGGTTAGGTGATGACCCTGATAAGATGACATCCCTCCCAGGCTTTGATACCATAGAAGCCCTCCTGAAAATTAGATACAACTCCACGGAGAGAATGATAGGGCTAAATTGACTGGGCTTAAGCTTCTCCCACCTGAAGCATGAGGGCTTATAATGAAAATTAAGTTCAGTTATAGAAAAAGGAAGTTAAATCTTTTACGTAGCCCATTTTGTGGACTAAGATCCATGACCACCATTGGAAGGATATTCTGGGCTCTCAGTGACTCAGAATGTATATTTTTAATAGTATTTAAAAAATACTATTACTATCATTCTTAATTTTTTTTTTTATTTAGGAAGGCCTTAACATCACAAAAGGACCCTGAAAATGTTTTCCATTGTACATTATAGCTAACTGTAATTAACTAAGTGTCTACTAGATTCAGAGAATCTAAAAATTAGAAGACAGATACTTTGGCATGTAGGAAAAGAATGGATGGAAATTGAAAATTAGATGGTGTTGATGGTTGAGAAATGTAGGGTCATTGAATTTAACTGTTTCTAGTGCCTTAGAGAAGAGATAGTGAGGAGCAGATACCATCTGTCTATATGGCATCAGTGTGCCTTGTTACTCTTGCTACCTTGCTCTGAGGAGTTATTAGAGAGAGAAGAATGGGAAATCTAACCTGTATAAAATGAGGATGCTGTGGTTGATTTCTTATAAGAGAGGAACTAGAGATCACAGGGCCTAAATTCAGAGGAAGTGGGTGGTGCCCTTTGCCTAAGCCCCCAGCCACCCAAATTCTATGGTCTGTCTAATCATCCTGGGTGGTTGGAGTTTTGGGGGCTGGAGAGGAATGCAGGTAAAAGAAGCCTAGATTAAGGATAGACTATAGTTGAGAACCAAGATCTGACAAGGTGAGAGATAAACGGAAAAGGTACTGTGAGTCTCAAAAAGATTTATGTCATAGACAGGTGACATCCTCTTATCTTCCAAATCTAAGATAAATAATGAAAAGCTTAGTGGTTGCAGAATAAAGATCTTTAACCCATCCTCTTGGAAAAGCTTTGGCTCTAGTCATCCTAGGAGTCCACTTGACCCAATTAGTCAAGAGAAGATAGATTCAAAACCTTCAAACAAGCTTAAAAATGTACAAAAGAATCAGCAGGGAAGTGACCCATTGAGAACATTCTCTGAAACCCTACCTCAAATGACATGACTTCTCTGGAAGTCAAATATATCAAAAAATTTTAAAAGAGCTAAGGAAAAGAGAGAGAGAGAGAGAGAGAGAGAGAGAGAGAGAGAGAGAGAGAGAGAGAGAGAGACTAAATTACCAGGAAAAAAGTTGCCCCTAAATAATGGTGCTGCACATTGCCTCACAGGGCGGCTGGCTTCCTTCTACCACCTGCCCAGGGAGCCACCTTCTCCCACCCACACCACCAGCAGGGCCTTATTAAAGCCTCTTTTTTTTTTTTTTTTTCCCTTTTTCCTTATATGAGATAAAGAAGAGAGAAAGTAAATGTCATTTGTGGGATGGGACAGAGGAACACAGAATAGTAAGCAGGCATTTTTACTTGATGGTCAGAAGTCTTTCAAGAGATCTAGTTTTAATGATTTCAGAAGAGACTGAGGCTTAAGGAGCTTAAATGACTTTGTCAAGGTCACATAGAGAGCAAGTGGCAGAGCCAGAGTCAGTCCTTGAACTATGTTGCCATTTACCTTAACATGCAATTTTATCTTAATACTGAGTGCCTACTACAACCAGGGCTGGACACATAATTTGCAAGGCCCACTGCAAAATAAAAATGTGGGCCTCTAGTTCAAAAATTATTAAGAAAGTCAAGATGGGGACTGCTGAGCATTCAACCAAATGTGGGGCCCTGAGTGGCTGGTGGCAGAGGTCACATGTCCATGAAGCTGGCACTGACTACATTCTAACCTCTGGGGATACAAATGTCAACATTATATATTGTTCATGTCCTTAAGGTCCTATTGTCTAGTCTGGAAAATAGACATATAACCAGGAAATTTCTATGCCAAGTGGTAAGATAAGGCCACAGAAGTCAGAGACAGAGTAACCACCACCCAGTCCGGGGCTTCTGGAAATGCTTGGTAATTGTTCCTTGTGAATGCAGTAATGGAAAGACCTTTCTTGATTGGTCCTTTCTTTCTTTCTCTTGTTGAGAAATATGGGACTTAGAAAGGGAGATAAATGCCAGCCTTACTACCAATAAGCTGACAGGAGAATGTGGCTCAGACTTGTGGCCGAATGGGCTTGCCCTCACATCACTCCTGAATGAGACAGGCAGCTGCCCGGTCGCAGATGCAGTGGGACAGTTTGGAGCCCTGCAGGCTGTCAGTGTAGTGGGGACTTGTTCCATGCGGCCCATTGCACCGTGGATTGGAGGACAGATCCTCTCTGCCGGCTGTGGGAACAGAAGTGTGAGAGAGGCC